TTCAAGGCTTTGTTGCACTAAGCGTGAAGGGCTGTGGTATCATATTCAAGGCTTTGCTACACTAACCATGTAGGGTTGTGGTATCCTATTCAAGGCTTTGCTGCACTAAGCGTGAAGGGTTGTGGTATCATATTCAAGGCTTTGCTGCACTAAGCGTGAAGGGTTGTGGTATCATATTCAAGGCTTTGCTGCACTAAGCGTGAAGGGTTGTGGTATCATATTCAAGACTTTGCTGCACTAAGCGTGAAGGGTTGTGGTATCATATTCAAGGCTTTGCTGCACTAAGCGTGTAGGGTTGTGGTATCATATTCATGGCTTTGCTGCACTAAGCGTGTAGGGTTGTGGTATCATATTCAAGGCTTTGCTGCACTAAGCGTGTAGGGTTGTGGTATCATATTCAAGGCTTTGCTGCACTAAGCGTGTAGGGTTGTGGTATCATATTCAAGGCTATGCTGCACTAGGCGTGTAGGGTTGTGGTATCATATTCAAGGCTTTGCTGCACTAAGCGTGTAGGGTTGTGGTATCATATTTAAGGCTTTGCTGCACTAAGCGTTTAGGGTTGTGGTATCATATTCAAGGCTTTGCTGCACTAAGCGTGAAGGGTTGTGGTATTATATTCAAGGCTTTGCTGCACTTAGCGTGAAGGGTTGTGGTATCATATTCAAGGCTTTGCTGCACTAAGCGTGTAGGGTTGTGGTATTATATTCAAGGCTTTGCTGCACTAAGCGTGTAGGGTTGTGGTATTATATTCAAGGCTTTGCTGCACTAAGCGTGAAGGGTTGTGGTATCATATTCAAGGCTTTTCTGCACTAAGCGTGAAGGGTTGTGGTATTATATTCAAGGCTTTGCTGCACTAAGCGTGTAGGGTTATGGTATCATATTCAAGGCTTTGTTGCACTAAGCGTGAAGGGCTGTGGTATCATATTCAAGGCTTTGCTACACTAACCATGTAGGGTTGTGGTATCCTATTCAAGGCTTTGCTGCACTAAGCGTGAAGGGTTGTGGTATCATATTCAAGGCTTTGCTACACTAAGCGTGAAGGGTTGTGGTATCATATTCAAGGCTTTGCTGCACTAAGCGTGAAGGGTTGTGGTATCATATTCAAGACTTTGCTGCACTAAGCGTGAAGGGTTGTGGTATCATATTCAAGGCTTTGCTGCACTAAGCGTGAAGGGTTGTGGTATCCTATTCAAGGCTTTGCTGCACTAAGCGTGAAGGGTTGTGGTATCATATTCAAGGCTTTGCTGCACTAAGCGTGTAGGGTTGTGGTATCATATTCAAGACTTTGCTGCACTAAGCGTGTAGGGTTGTGGTATCATATTTAAGGCTTTGCTGCACTAAGTGTGAAGGGTTGTGGTATCATATTTAAGGCTTTGCTGCACTAAGCGTGAAGGGTTGTGGTATTATATTCAAGGCTTTGCTGCACTAAGCGTGTAGGGTTCTAATCACATTAGGTCATGAATGCAGGGGGCTGGCCAGCGGCCGCTGTAGAATCAGAAGTTCAAAGGAAATTAATGATATAACAGAAAAGAAAAACGGTTAATTATGTAACAGAGAAAAAAGGCATGTTATATCAACAATTAAAAGTTTGTTTATATCAATGATTAAAATGAATTGGTTGTTTACATCAACAAGGAATAGCTTGTTTACATCAACAATGAATAGGCTGTTTGCACCAATACAGATACTGCATTTCATATCAGCGATGAGAATTTGTTTACACCAACAAAGAAAATGTTGTTCATATCACAGAGGAGTATGTTTCCTATATCACAAATTTAAAAAAATATATATATTGTTTAAATTACACAGAAAAATATTGTGTGTGTTTTAGTCATTTCGTCTGATGCTGTTGACTCAACAGTACATCGGTATCAATTACTATACCGATGTATTTCCATAGCCGTATGCCAAACTAACAGCTACTTCCACTCTTACCACTGTCGCAACGTACTTCCGTCTTTAGGTTCTCACGATATGACCAGAGCCAACTAACACACTGAACTCGGTTATTTCGTAACTGTTTTGCAGTGCTCCCAGTATAACCTTGCTGTATGGCAGTGGGTGTCAACCTTTCTAATGCCGCGAAATTTTAAGACAGTTTCCTCATGTTGTGGCAAACCCCCCCCCCCCCCCCCCCCCCCCCCAAAAAAAAAAAAATTATAAAAAAATTATTTTCCTTCATAATTTCAATGATTATGTGTTTTCCGATGATCCTAGGCCATCCTTGTGAAAAGATCGTTCGACCCAAAAAAGGGTCGTGACCCGCAGGTTGAGAATCGCTGCTATATGATCATGTAAAGCGCCACGACGGATTGGGAAAAAAAAACTAGCGGAAGGCATGGTACCAAGAAGGAGGTGCAGGGGCCGACCAACACGAAGATGGGCACAGGATGTAAGTGACTCCTTAAATATTAAAGTACACGAGGCGGGAGAGCTGGCGAGAGACTGAGTTTCTTTCAGGCAGTCCGTGATGAGAGCGACGTTCTGCAAACAGTTTGGTACATGATGATGATATGGTTATACTGCTAAGGGAGGTTTCTGGGATTTGTAGCTGTTTGATTCTCATCCGCGAGATGTTAATCCTATAAAATATAAATCCGGATAGGTAAAACTTTAAACTAACAAGAAAATTTTAATAAATATTAAAAATCAAAATAACCACAGAATATACACTGCCTGTGTCTGGTAATGTTTTCTTCTTGTGTTAATTTCTGTAAAAATGTTCATTGCACTTTTTTCTTTTAAATCTGTCTATGGCAGTGATTCCCAAACTGTACGCCCCAGCGCCCCGGGGAGCCGCGACCTCTTCACAGGGGCGTCGCGAATTATTCGAAGATACACATTTTTTTTTTTTAAATCTCTTACATACGAATAGTCATACTTTTGCTTAGGTTAGGGCGCCGTTGAAAAACTGTAATTGAAAAAAAGCGCCGCGACTAAGAAAGGTTTGGGAAACACTGGTCTCTGGTGTTCTTATCATTCGTCTATAGAAACCACATAGCAGCAATTTCCACACAGTTTCTATCTATTCATTATGATCGATGACATACCTGCAAAATTATGTTCTTTGTATCACAAAGAAACATATATTTATGTCACAAGGCGGAAAAGGTGAGTGGGGGGGGGGGGGGTGTCAGAGATTGTTTCAGTTCAAAAAGTATTGGAACTTTTTATTTTAAACAATACTTGTTCATTTGGTTTGGTGAAAAAGGGACAGTTGAATGACGATGGCGTAAATGTGTATAGCGGAAATGAGACGATTTGCTGCTTGCTTGTGACGCTCGTAATTTTGACTGGTGAATGGTCCATTTGTTTGTTTTAATCTCACTGATACTGCCTTGCTCGGTGTTGGCTCTCAAATTGTGCTGATCCTCTTTTGATATGCGTTTATGCTTGCCTTGGGTGAAGTAAGTATCAATAATGAGATCGTTTCCCTCCTGTGTGTCATATTTATGGTGTTTCAAATGGTATAGGAAATATGGTTTGCGGTCGGACCACCTGTGATTTGGCGTTGGTCGGTAGTAAACCTTTGGTAAATTAGGAGAATGTATTGACAACCACAAGCTATCTTGCTTTTTATTTTCTTCTGCTGCTGCTTCTTCTTCTTCTTCGTCTTCTTCTTCTTCTTCGTCTTCTTTTTCTTCTTCGTCTTCTTCTTCTTCGTATTCTTCTTCTTCTTCTTCTTCTTCTTCTTCATCTTCTTCATATTTGTCTTCTTCATCTTCGTCTTCTTCTTCTTTGTCTTCTTCTTCGTCGTCGTCGTCTTCTTCTTCTTCTTCTTCTTCTTCTTCTTCTTCTTCTTCTTCTTCTTCTTCTTCTTCTTCTTCTTCTTCTTCTTCTACTTCTTCTTCTTGTCTTACTTAACTTTTTTTAGCTTCTTGTGTTTTTGTTCTTTTTCTTCTTCGTCTTATTCTGTTTCTTCTTCTTCTTCTTCTTCTTCTTCTTCTTCTTCTTCTTCTTCTTCTTCTTCTTCTTCTTCTTCTTCTTCTTCTTCTTCCCCCTTTCTTTCTTTCTTTTTCTCCACTGTGTGTTTATCCACCGAGTATTTGAACACATGAAGAACAAATTACTACTAGCGACAAATTTAAATAGCAAAATATGTTGTTTTGTACTATATCTTTATAAGCGCAACCTTCTATGCACACACTAGATCTCTACCTGTCTGAGTTAATGCTGCTGCTTCTTCTTCTCCTTTTTTTTTTTTTTCCTCCTCCTTTTTCTTCTTCTGCTTCTTCTTCTGCTGCTGCGGCTGCGGCTGCTGCTTCTATTTTCCATTATTCCGCAGTCCAGCATAGGCACTTAGCCAGTTTGTGGCAGACAACCCAGAACTTGGTCATAGTCGGAATTTTGCCAGTGAATCTTGTTTACGGGATGGAGTAGCCAGCACCCAGAATAATCCTACACAGTCATTTTTTAGATCCAGTGGATTGGGCATGATTCAAGACTACCTCAAGACAGTGTGACCACAGAAAGCCTTATTACTAAGACAACGGAAGCAGCTCTGGAGGTCGCCCAGACAATCGATGGATAGATGGAATATTATAAGGCGCGACTACGAACATCTACGCAGCACACACGAAGGCTAGCACCAGATTCCTCTTCGAAACCTGACGCCGAAGAGCAGAACAGAGATCAGAGACAAGTAAGACCAAAAAGGTCATCTTTTAGGATACTTTTGACTCTTTACTCTTCCTAATGGCATCTAACACAATTTAGTCTTCCCACAACGTCCGTCTCACTCTCACACAATTTAAAAAAGCAGTAAATAATAATAACTTATTTTACACACAAAAACGGCCAAGAACCATCACTGGATTTCTCGTGTCGCAATCTTTGTGTTTTAGATACTACCTTAGGAAAGGGTTGTGATCGGTGCGCCGGTTCATTGTTTGATGATCTTAGCCAGACGGTTGGGGAAACTGTCTGTCCTTGAACCAGCAGGAATGCTTGCAGTTAATCCACAACGTTAATGAAAAAACAAACAAACCCGGATTGGTTTATAATTGTGTCTGTTCTTTTGTGTCGATATATAAGACTCCATATTCATTAACTTTACCGTTTGACTTCAAATCTGTGTTGCTTTTCAGCTGCTGCTCCCAGTCTATCTGTCTTTTTGTTTTGTCACTAAACCTCAAGTCTTGTTCGACAGAAGTCGGTGACTTTGGAACTGAAGTGATACTATGGGTACTGATTGAACTAAACGTTGTTTCTGCCGATCGGTTGTCATTACGCCTGTTCATCATCAAAATGTCTTTGGATTCAGAGGAGCTATTCCGGTTCTGGCATTTACACACGTCATGTGGGTCTTCTTTAAGGACCAGACTATTCTGTACATCTTGGTCTGAAACGTTCCAACACCACAGATGTTTTCGGCTGCAGCGCTTGTCGTCTGCCTGTATATGACCTCCATCGTTGTGATCGCGCTCGAAGCTGTTTTTCTGTTGGAAGTCGAAACAATCAGGAATGTTGGTGCCGAGTGTTCTCTGGCTTGTGTAATCATTATATCCATGTTCTTTCTTACCGAACGGCTCAGCAGTGGCGAAAGCAGTGATGGGTTTACTGTACAGATGATTGGGGTCATCGGGATCCCTGCAATGAGACTGGATATCCGATAGCGGGGATAATGGTGGTGTTGTGGACAGTCTGAAAGCATCTTCTTGACTGCCGATGTGGCATGTCTGTGTGTAGTCGTGTGCTTTGCATTGTTGGTTTGTTGACACTCCTACACTATATTCAGGTGGTCGCTCTGCCATGGTAGACATGGATAATGAAAACTGCGATGGTTGAGGATGGTGGTTAGGCGATTGATTATTGGAATTTTCGCAAACGTCTCTCCTTATTGTATCATGGTTAGTTGGCTGTAACATTATGTCATAATCTTCATCGTCGTTTAGATTACTGTCTGTGGATGTCATTTTATCTGTGTCGGGACGGAATCTATTGTGAGAAATAATAAACGGATTAGAATCATCCTTAAAGTTGGGGCTATGGTTTCCATTAGGTATAGCGACTACGTTATTATCTCTGGCGCTAGGAGAATCGTTAGGCGGGTGGCGCATGAGATTGTGATCTGTGGAGCTTCTCTCGTCGGGGCTGAGTTTGATTCCAAATAACTCCTTGATGGCGCCTTTGATACGGCTGTTACTTGTGGCATAGAGGAAGGGGTTAATACTGGAGTTGGCATGGCTCATGACCACCGCGACCAGCAATGCTTCGCTGGGGAAATAGCACTGGCTGCCACAGAAGAGGCTGACGCAGTTGAAAATGTTCACGGGAAACCAGAATATGGCGAACATTAAAATCACCATTGCAAACATCTTCGCCGCCCTGACGTCTTTGTGAAAACCGTCACTGGTTTCGCCATTTTGCTGGAATCTGTTGTGCAGAACGCTCGTCTGCCGCAGATGTCTGCGAACGATGATGAGAATATAAATGTATATGCACAGCATGATAGACAGCGGGAGAAGCACCAGTCCGAAGAACTGAAAATAGACCATGTATTCGTAGGTAATAACATCCGTAAACCTGCAGCCCATATCCTCGCGGTAGTTACCGTGCCACCCGTACATTGGCATGAGCCCCAAAACAGAGCCGACCACCCATACGCACACATTGGTGTAGATTGCCCGACGCACGGATAATAATCTGTGATATAAAAACGGTTCTTTGATGGCCAAGAAGCGCTCAAATGCCACCGATAGAAGCATGAGAATTGAAACGTTGGTGAACATGAGAATAAGACAGTTGATGAAGATACAGCCGTAGAAGTCTTTGGGGATGCCCTTAAACGACAGGGCAGCGCTAGGGGCGACAAGTATTCCCACGACAATGTCGGCGATTGCTAGGTTACCCACAAATACGTTAGTGATTGTATGAAGTCGGCGAGATTTGACAATAGCTGCTAGAACCAGGCTATTGCCGATCACAGTAACCAGGCCAACGATGGCCTCCGCGGTTATGTATACAATGTCTGTCGCGTTCATGGTCACACTGGACTGGTTCATGGTGCCAGTTTCCAATCCTCAAACCGCGTTATTGCACAGAAACTGGTCTTTGTCTATAAAGCAAACGTTTCCATTGAGTAGTGTTTACAGTATTATACATATTGAATCGTCTCCGGTTTTGTCACAGTTTTATGACGGTTTATTTCTTCCAGGAAAATATCCACGAAAAAACAATAAAGTGCCAAAGCATGACACTTGATAAACTGTATCCAGTATGAAACTAAAAATGCAGGGAATGTCGAAATTGTTACCATGATGGCTTCAGTAAAACACGGTAAACTATCACTTGGATAATTATCCACGATCCCTCAGATAGTTTTAGAAAGTCATATTGAGTAGCGTATCCGACATCGTGAAATGTAAAGGGAAAAATACCAGTCCAACTTGTAAAACAAGTCTTATGTGTAGTGTGTAGCACCTAGTTCAACTCTTCAATGGTCAGCCTTTTTTTTTACCACTTCACAATCGCAAAAAATATTGTTGTGATAGGAAAAAATATCAGTCCAACTTGAAAGTAAAACTAGTCTTATGTGTAGTGTGTAGCACCTAGTTCAACACTTCAATGGTCACTCTTTTTTTACCACATCGTGTATATACTTCGCCGTTATTCATTGTTGTGATTATAACGCTGTTTATTTCTCAAACGCAGCTGTTATACGCAATACCTGGAGTTCTGAAAGGGAAACATTGTTTGAAAGCTTGATCACATTAACTCCCCACATCCAGTTCCGTGTCAAGCAGCACATCCGACCACATAAAAAGACTCCACACTGGCGTGTAAAACTGTTGTTATTATATTACTGCGCTCTTGATTTCTCAAACGTAAACGACGCCTGAAGTTCTAAACCACGAGCAGTGTACGAATGTCAGGTCACAATCAGCCTTCAGTCCAGCCTGGGTTCCGGGTTTACTAGAAACGCAATCGTTACGATAATCCCTGGCCGGAAGTCAATGCAAGTGTTGTCGAGTGCTATCGTCAAGCAAGCACTCTATGAGGTTATCTGCTGCTGATGGTAGCGTTGTCAGTGGGGGTTATCGGCCACTCTTCAGTGCTTTGTCAGCGGAGATATTGCTTCACAAAAGGGACATGCTCGTCTTAAGTGGGGTTTGTCACACTTGGTAAATAATCCAGGTCTGGTGAGCTACTTTTGTTAATTTCATAAGTAAATTAAAAAGTAAACACACGTTTCCATGATTTGAGCGGGATATGCTAGAAGCCGTGTGTGACAAGCTGAAGTAATTCCTGTTTGTGTGATATTCACAGTTGACGATAGATCACTCACTTCACTACATATGTAGCCTCCATATTTAGACATAATTTTTGCGACCCCCCTGCTGTCTTCTGTGGGCGTTGCTGCGTCGCCAGTACATGTTTTCTTTAAAAACAGTCGCTGCGTTGTTTGCTATGTTCTATGGGTGTTGCTGAATAACCACTACAGATGTTTTCGACATTGAAACAAAGTATTGCTTCCTCCGCTGTATTCTGTGGTCAGTTATATGCCGTCTCCGCACTGAAGATTGGCTGCCATGCTGTCACCGCTGTTTTTGGGAATACTAAGTGATGAAGTGCCAATCTCTTCCACTGTACGAATCTTCAATGTCAGAAAATCACAAGAACAGAGTACGGTTTTTGTTCCTTTTAAATTAGCCACCTACAATGCAGATCGACCACTAGTACTCTGGGATCATGAAATTGTTGAACGCATTCACTAATCTCCGAGTGCTCTCATGAACACAATAACTTGCTTCCTCTTTTGTACTCTATGGATATACTTTGTCAGTATTTCACAAATGTAAATGTTCGGTTCAAGTAGGACATACTTTTGTGTTTTCTGATGTATCCAGTGGGTGTTGACAAAATGCTGTTCGTGTAATCCACTTAAAATATGCACTTAAGATGTGTAGTCGCAGTTATACATTTCCTGGGTGTAGAACCGTGGACTGCGGTGGTGGTAATCTCACATATTTGAAGAATGCAATTCGTTTTGTGCAATCTCGCTGTCTCGCTGCATTCAAACACAATCCTTACAATCTCAGTCATGAAGCAACATCACCACAGTGGTTACAACGGTTACTGCCGTTTTTCATTCAAATGTTATTCAAGATGTGTATTTTTATTCGTCACTTGCATTATTCAGAAATGTAAAAAGAAGTAAAGGCGACCATAAGTGTGATATTGACTCTTTTACTGATACTGATATTGACGCTATTGATCTCCCGTTGATGGTTGAGTTTATCTACACATATGGAGCTAGTATAATCTGTCCAGTATGTCTGTTGGCGTGGATAGAAGTCTTTTGCTTACTCTGGTGCATGGTCTCAACGTTGAGAGGCTGAATGTCCAGTAGCTGTCGAGCTCATCCGCTGTACTATCTTAACTCTCTGGTATTTCTGCAGACACATGAACTGATTTGTTGCCACTTTGTATAGAATCATGTCATTTAACTGCATACCACAGATTGCTAACGAAATACCCCTTCCATATAGTTAGAAATGATAAAAACAAGGCCATAGAATGGTATTCAGCGTCGGAAGGTCTCTGAAAGTGTCGACTGTTGCCTGGTTGAAAGGTCTACAAGAGCGTCTCTTTGAATACGCCTGTGAAAGAGACAAGGAAAATAAATTGTATGTTTTGTTTTATTTGTTTCGTATTTTATTAATTGTATTTTAATTACCATAGATATGCTCAGGCAATCAAAAAACTTCAAGTATCTAAGGCACATAATGTAATAGAATGGAAAAAAATGAAAGCACAGATAGTAGTCTGATGTAATAAAGCAAATCAAATCATTGGACAGATATCTCCAGTAGTGCAGAGCAAACAGGTAACAATTGACACCAGAAGAGCACAATACAGTACAGCATTTTTACCAAGATTGTGTTACCTGTGTTAAACAGCACCAAGAAAAAGAACAATCGAAACAACAAAAATTAAATATCCAATATCTACAACAAATCCTAAATGCAATTAGAAAAGAAGGATAAGATATTACACTATCAGGAAACAAGTTACTTCCGAACCAGTACTAAATTACATTGAGAGACAGCAAATTAAATAGTCCGGACATGTGTCAGGACTACCACCAGACAGTGCACCTCAGAGAGTCCTGTCACTTGAACACAATGGAAGCATACTTAGAGGTTGACCACACAAGCGATGAATAGATGGAATATCCGAGCACGTGAATACTAGCCTCTGCGTAGCACACACCAAGGCTCCCACCAAACGCCTCTTCAAAACATGACGCTGAAACGCAGAACAGGACTAGAGCAAAAGAAGAAAAAGAATTAGCATAGATAATGTTTTCTTCTTCCCCATATCTAATACAAGGGGAACATGCACCACCTACTTGAACCTCATCAGAGGTCCTCCTACTCATCCTGATCATCCTGCTTCTTCTTCTTCTTCTTCTTCTTCTTCTTCTTCTTCTTCTTCTTCTTCTTCTTCTTTTTCTTCTTCTTCTTCGTGAGCCTTTAAAAAGATAAATGGTTTAAAGCGATACAGCAAAATCTTCGCCTTTAGTCCCAGTGCATCTGATTTCAGCAAGCTGTTAACTGGGAGCCACAGTATCATATTGGTCAGAGGCTGGCTTGCCGGACCAAAGTTCTTTACTTCTAACCCGACCCAGGCGGATTGGGGGGGGGGGTGACTTTGGCTCCCTTTCCACCCTAATCCACAATGGTTACCAGGAAATATGGGAAGTAAAAGCCGGTCGGCGTGATGGTGATACGTGGGCATATCTCTCTGATCGCAGTATTATTCGATACCCAAAATCTGCAACTCTACAGACCGGTTTTCTGTGTCTTTTTTTCCTCCTGTATTTGTGTCAGTCACCTGTGCGCGACCGGAAGTCGTCGTGGCGTTGGCGGCTAGACCACCTGCCTGAGGGTCGGAAGGTCGTGGATTCGCGACCTGGCGGAGCCGGACATTTGTTTTTTTCTAAATGACCTTGACTCCCAGGTCGACCCAGCCTTAAGTGGGTACCAGGTGCAGTCTTTGGAAGTAGAGGCGGCCAGCGTGGAGCTGACCACATCACCCACCAAGTACCGATTGGCTTCAAAAATTTGGGTCTAGCCCTATATTCCCAATGTGCTTAAAGGTGTGGGAAAGGGACCTTTGCTTATCTGTGCGTGACTACATCAAGGTCTATGACAGTGGTTCTCAACCTGCCTAAGGCCGCGACCCTTTAATACAGTTCCCTCATGTTGTGGCGACCCCCAGACATTTATTTTCCTTTATAACTGCAACGAGTATGTATTTTCCGATGGTCTTAGGCGACCTCTGTGAAAGGGTCGTTCGACCCACACACACAAAAAAGGTCGCGACCGGCAGGTTGTGAACCGCTGGTCTGTGAAATCACAAGTTATGTATGATATACCATATTATTCACTGCATCCATTGGCTGCTTAATTACAAGGCGTCGTGTGCGGCTCTATGGCTCAGAGGCTAGCGAATGAGGTTAACAATTTCATGACCCTCAAGTACTGGGGTTCGTTTCCCGCGGTGGACGGGTAGAATTCCGTTCTCGTTGTTTTGGGACAGTGGTACGAGAGTCGCACCATGAAAGAGATTGGGTTCTCACCACGTAATAGTCTCAAAGAGAACAGTGATTTACTTGCCAAGAGACGGCATCGAACTTTTTTTTTTTAACAAGATGTCATACGATTTTTTGTATTCTTCTTCTTCTTCTTCTTCTTCTTCTTCTTCTTCTTCTTCTTCTTCTTCTTCCTTGACCATCCCCTTGTACTCCTCTTTTGAAGTCACTCTCAAAAGTGCAGTTATGACTTTGGGAAGTTTTTTGTTGTTCAGTTTAGTCACGCGAAAAAAAACAAACCACCGCTTAAAGACAAGCAACTATTGTCTTGCGATCGGACAGTAACCAGAAAAGTCCACCACCCAGTGGTAAGTTAGGCGCTTCGCACCCAAAATTGAAGTGTTCAGAATGCTGAACAAAGATGACGAAAATTATTAACTAAACTTAGTAGTTTGCCCTGCTGTA